TGTGCATATATAGGTTTCTCTTGAACAAGCAACCATTCACACTCACACCTAGGGACAATTTAGTTACCAGTCAGCCCAACTTATAATTACTGGTAAACTACATCCCTGTTGGGCGGCACAGTGCCAGCACAGTTGGTAGACCTGCTGCCTCTCAGCGAGCAGGTCCTTGGTTCAAACCCTGGTCCAGGGGCCTTTATGGGTGGAGTTTGTATGTTCTCTCCGTGCATGCATGGGTTTTCTCCGGGTGCTCCGGTTTCCTCCCACAGACCAAAAACATGCATGTTAGGCTGATTGGTAACTCTAAATTGCCCCTAGGTGTGAGTGAGAGAGTGAATGGTTGTTTGTCTCGTTTGTCTCTATGTGGCCCTGTGATGGACTTGCAACCCGTCCAAGGTGTACCCTGCCCCTCCCATGGTGATTGCTGGACATGGGCACCAGCGACACCCGTGACCCAAAATGGAATAAGCGGGTAAAGATAATGAATGAATGGATATATATATATATTTTTTTTTTTTTTTTTAAGAAACTACACAAAGAAAAAAAAACCTTTCTGCTGCAGTTCACAGGAAGGATGAGATGCATGAAACCTGGCAGAAGGGATGATTTCATCATTCTGCTGTCTACATCTTTAAAGGATGAACTGATTTACTGGATTCATCTTTAGTCATCCTGTTTTAGATGAACCATTGACTGAAAAAGTTAAAGGTTTATTTGTTCATTTCTCAGTCTGTTAGGTCCATTTTTAATTTTACACTACAAAACTGAAATGTTCCATCAAAAACAGCTGGTCAAAATGATATGCAAACTCATATCATTCAGACAACAAGTCATCCAACTTTATTTATTTATTTAAAAACTAATTTACAAACACAACATGAAGTTACAGGTGGTATCCTGAGAAATTCATGTCCATTTAAAATAAAACACAAAGAAAGTGACATTAGTGTTTAAATCTGCTTTAGCTCTTGTTGCACATTAAAGTTCAACTTCTTCTTCTTCTTTCAGTTGCTCCTTCTTCAGTCGCCACAGTGAACTAACTCATGAAGACTGGACATAGTTTTTACGCCGGATGTCCTTCTTGAAGCAACCACAGACCACTGAGCTACCACAGCCCTCTGTGTGGAGCAGAGAGCTGCCATCTAGGGCGCCCCGGCCGAGCAAATGGTGGGGGTTCAGGGCCTTGCTCATGGGCTCATAGTGGGGCAAATGAGGGTGGAGGCAGGTGTGGGCGTTTCACCTTTCCCACCCACATTTTGATGTCGATCTGAGGGATCGAACCGGTGACCTTCCCATCACAGACTCACCTTCTCTAACATTAAGCCACCACTCCCCCGTACGTTAAAAGTTCAACAAGTTCCCTTTTTTCACCGTCAACTTCTGGTGAAAATCAAGGAAATGATCAAACCTAATAACCATCTGGAAAAATGTCAGCAGCAGAACTCCATGACAGAAGAACCTCGTCCTGACAGAAGAACCTCATCCTGACAGAAGAACCGCCTCCTGACAGAAGAACCTCCTCCTGTCAGAAGAACCTCCTCCTGACAAAAGAACCTCCTCCTGACAAAAGAACCTCCTCCTGACAGAAGAACCTCCTCCTGACAGAAGAACCTCCTCCTGAAAAAAGAACCTCCTCCTGTCAGAAGAACCTCCTCCTGTCAGAAGAACCTCTTCCTGACAGAAGAACCTCCTCCAGACAGAAAACCTTCCTGGACAGATGAAGCCAGTCAGTTTCAGGAGTACTGCGTGTTAGAGATTTTCTTCCACAGTAATGTCTTCAGGTTGTTCAGAACTAACGAGTGGTGGACTTCCATCTGGCTCGCCAGTCCACTGAGGGTCACACAGGTTTGAAGCTGTTTCTCCAGATCCCCCTGCAGCTCAGACGGAGCTCCGAACAGCAGAAAATCCAGTAACAGCACACACACCTTTGCCAGATTGGGCTGCACCACCTCTGTGTTGCATTGCTTCACCAGTCGATCGCAAGTGGCCATGCAGTCCCGGCCGTAAGTGCAGTCTGCATTGCTCTCGCAGCGGCGACCCTTCAGAAATGCTCGAACAGCAGCCTCTGATGCCACGCTGCGCAGGTCGGCCATTTTGCAGTCATAATTTGCGTTGTAGCCAACGTGGTAGAGGCTGGCGTCGCAGATCAGAAAACTGCCGTATGAGCCGTGGAAAACCTCTTCCACAAACTCCAGCAGGCCGATGGAGATGCGGGCCCTGCGGGGCCACGATGGAGCCAGCCAGTGGTTCAGACTGGATTTCAGGGTATCGGGGACGACAGCCTGGAGGTAAACAGGGACCTCCAGCCTATAGAGGGAGCTGTGGCTCACACGCTCCGTCACATAAAGGTCTCCACAAAAACCCAGCAGCTTGGGGGTGTGCTCCTTCTCCTGCAGAGCCACCATCAGGAGGAACTCATTGATGTGCAGAAGAGCCCAGATAGACTTGGCTTCTGCCAGAGACACTTTTCCATCTTGGTTAATGTCAGCCAGAGCAATGACCCTGTCCACCAGCATACTCAGAGATGACTGTTCACCAAGGTTAGCCTGCAGGAAGGAAGGAGGTTCCTCTGGTTATCATGTTGTACATGTTCAACAAACAGAAATAGATTTATGTTAAACAAATGTTAAGTTTTAAAGTCTGGATGTTGATGATGAATACAAACTTTGAAACCCATCGTTGTTTGGACTAACTCCTGGAAATCCCTTTAACTTAACATTCACGTTCCTTAGAGAACAATTGTCCACCTTAATTAACCGCTTATTATTTTCAAATTTTTTCACAAAAAAAAATCAAACTTTTAGAACTATCTCAGCCTGAAATAAAAGCATCAAATTATTTTTTTATTTATATATATTTAAACTTTTTAAGGTATTTTGTTGTAAAAGAAAAAAAATAACTTCATGTTTCAGTTGTTTTTAAATCAATAAATACTTATTTTACAGCTATATTTAAAATCAAGGCAAAGACTCCTAGTCCTGAGTTTTGTGAGGACCCTCCAGTCCACCGGACCTTCAGATCCAGTAGCTGAAAACGAGGTCTTGTTTTTGGTTAAACTTACTGCTGCCTCTCAGTGGTCTGACATGGAGGCTTTTTTCTAATCTTTTTTTTTTTGTTGTTTACTCTACCCATGATAAAAATGCTAGTTTCTAAATAGCTTTATGTTTGTATGACCCAAATGTGCTAGTGAGCTGTGGCAGCACAGTGCACCTGCTAACGACATCCTGCGCTGGGAGAAACCAACGGCAGTCAGCCAAGGAACATCCCGTGCTGCAGCCTGCATGCATGTGAAACTTTCAGACTAAATGTTTACATCCAAACTAAAACAACTTTCTTGTATGAGATGAGGGGCGGGACTCTGCTATAACGTTTGCCTGGAAATAAATACTGCATCCAGGGTAAACTGAATTTAGATAGATTAGCTTAACTTGGATTTTTAGGGGCTCTCAAAAGTTAAAGCCGAGCATCACTTAGTGAGCTAATTAAAAAATTAAAAGTACAGGGATTTAGGTAAAAAGAAAAATCATTACTGAGAGTAATGCATTATTTTATGATATGATAAAAATTTCTTTCTTCTTTCGCCACAGCAAACTAACTCGCATGAACACTTGGAGATTGTTTTGGGGTTTTTTTTTATGCCAGATGCTCTTCTTGATGCAACCACTGAGCTACCACAGCCCTCCACATGGAGCAGAGGGCTGCTGTAGGGTGCCCGGGGGAGCAGATTGTGTGTGTGTGTGTGTGTGTGGGGGGGGGGGGTTAAGGGCCTTGTAAGGGCGTTTTTTGATGTTTTCCTTTTGACGGTCCAGGGAGTTGAACTGACAACCTTCAGATAACAGGCCCGCCTTCTCTTACAATGTGGGATTACAGTTTGTACGGTGCAATTCACTGTGGTTGATTTATCCTCTAAGGAACACTAGAGTGTAGTAAAGTTACGGTGAGGTTATGATATCATTGAAAAAAATCTGATATAATAATAAAAAGTAGCTTTTTATGTTTATTGACTGCACCAAAATAAATAAAAATATGCATAAAATAAACGTGTGACTGATTTTCCCCCATAAGGTCTTTCTGTAGTTGTTTTAAACTAGGTGCAGTGGCAGCTGGGAAAACCTTGAGGAAGCTGTGGAGCATCTCTCTGAACTCATCCATAGAAGTTCCACGTGTCGGCTTGTCAAACAAACTCCTCTCTGGTCGCACCACCGCGTCTAGCCCTATGTTTGGGTCCACCGGATCCTCAGTGCTGCATTTGATGACCACAGATTTCTCCTTCCAAAGTCCAAAATACACCTGCAGGACCAGAACCAGAACCATAGTCAGTGAGCTGAAGGAAAACCTGCTTTTTGAACGTTTCGTGTTGTAAAACTGAACTCTCAATGACTTCCTTGAAAAAATTACATTTGAACAGTAATAAACAGAATGCTGACTGAATTGTTTTTTTATTTAAAATGTTTTTAAAGGTCTAAAGATCAGTTGTATAAAATAGAAACCTCAAAAGATGGAATTATGCATTAAAATATTTAACTGGTTCCTTTGAGTCTCAGGACAGTTATTATTGTACGTGTTGTTTGTTCTTTTTATTGTAAATTTTTAGGTAAATTTCTTCTCTTTGTACTTGTTCTAGTTCTTTCCATTCATGATTATTCTTAGTTCTGTTGCTGGAAGACAGTTTGTATTAATTTCTGCTTGTGTGTTCATTGTCCAGATGTTTGTGAAGTTCATTTAGTTATTCAATATCTCCACAGAGGTTGTTTAAATCTTTATTTTATATTTCATTTTCTAAGCTTTCATCTCCCTGGGACAATTTTCTTTCTTTCTTCTCTTTTGTCTCCACTGAATATATTGTTTATTTGTATTGTTTTGAATTATTTCCTCATGCTTTTGACCTTTTTCAAAAAATGTACGTCTTGTAGTAATTTTATGATTTCTGTAGTTTAAGTGCAGGTACTGTACTGTACTGCTAAATGTGTTACCCATGTGGTCTGATCTGATAATTTTAATTAATAGGTGTGTGTGTGTGTGTGTGTGTGTGTGTGTGTGTGTGTGTGTGTGTG